TTAAAACCTGGAAGTTGAAAGTCTCAAAGTTAATGCAGTTTTACTTAACAATATGTTTCGAAATTTTATCCGTATTCTGTATGGCGGCCGTCATAAGTCGTGACGTCAATTCGTTGCTTTTTTCTTGGCTACATTTTTCATCTGTTCTAACCTCCTTGGTTAATTCGTACAAACTTTGTGCATAAACGTACCAAAAGAGCAACAAAACTAAACAAAAATTTCGAACCTTTCTTTTACAACTCCAAGCAGTAACAATTTTTACAGATGAAGATATTCGGAGCAAATCCGGATATTACTTAAATATTTACTGCAGGTTCCATACGCTAAAACTTGCAGCGTCTTTAATATTCAAACCTTTCCTATATTATGATCCCCACAAGTATATCCTCCATCCTATATTATATTGCCTATATCCTCCGTCTTTAATATTTAACCCTTTCTTAGATATACTCCTTATAGTATATTTAAACCTTTCCTATATATATATTTCTTATATTATATTTAAACCTTCCTTATATATATATATTCTCTGTATTATATTTAAACCTTTCCTATATTATGTATTTCTGAATTATATATTATTTCCTTTCCTATACATAAATATAAACCTTTCCTATATATATTCCTATATTATATTGACAATATTCTGTCCTATAAACACGTCTTTGCGTGGCGTAAATTTCCCCCTCACTATGTGGCGTTTAGAACAGCTCTTCTAGATTCAAAATTTTGTGTTTGAATTCTAAATACAAAATTTTATGTTTGTTTTATGTCTGAAGAGCAGAGGCTCGAACCCCGGAGACTACATGGATGTAAATTGTCTGTCTCATCATAGGAGGCAATGGTGGCTCACCTGTTAGGTGCCTCCATAATAAAGCGGCCAGTGGCGAAAGTCTATGCCAGCTTGTACCCGCCATTGGGGGGGGGGGTTATCGTTTTAGATGTTAAAGTGAAATCTGCATACCAAAAACCGATTGTGATTTTTTATCAATCTTATCACTTTTATGTTTTTTAAATTTCTAATTTTTTTTTTTTGTAACTTTGGAATTCTGGAATTTTATAGTAAATTTTTCAAGATGTTAGACTGTGATCTGAAGTTTTCCGATGACAGTTTTTTTTCCTTACTTTATTATTTAGAGAAATTACATTTTGTGATAAAAGCAAGTAATGTTATTATATATTTTATATAAAATTAATGAATTACGAAACTTCTCTCGAAAAGACGACTTTGATGTATCCTTTCATAGAACGGTGGAGCAATATACAGTGACACCTGAACGTGTTCTTTCAGTTTAAGAGTTTGTAGAAAAAGTGATGTAGTCCGAAACTGAATTCGAATATAAAGCCCAATATTTTTTCGCATCATCTTCCAATTTTGAATAAAACTAAACCTTTAATGCCGACTTAATTTCTTTTCCTAAAACTGAAAAATGTAAAAGGCATAGATAAAAACATTGCAAAAGTGATCGTACACCGAAACATTTTCGTCAAATTTCATAAATAAAATTATCCTCTGCCACTTTCTTATTTTAGCATTTTGATAACGTTTAAAAATTCGCTTAGCTTTATTTTTTGCTTGCTTACTTCGTTATATTTTATTTAATATTTAAAAATTGGTCGTAGACTTCACGAAACAACAAATATCATTCAAAAATTGATAATTTTTCATCATAAGTGTGGAAAATCGATATGGGATATCGCTAAATTGGTAAATTTATCCCATTCTACGTGTAGTATGGGATAAAATGCTTAAAGAAGAAAATCGGATTGAAAATAAAGTAAGAAAAGGTAGCCCGGCAGAATAAATTCATTGTGATCAGAGATTTATAGTTAGAAAATAGGTGAAAAATCCACGTTTGAGCGTTGTAAGGATCTCTACAGAATTTTCTGAAAATTTTTCTATTTCAATTCCATCTGGAACTATTCGACGGGTACTCAGATCAGCTGGATTGTATAGGAGCTCTACTTGAAGAGAGTGTTTTGTAAATTCTAAAATAGAAAGCTTATTCTTTCCTTCTCAAAATTAATGGTAAATAAACCTGAAGCATAATGGAACCATGTCTTACTTGCGGATGAAAGAATTTTAACATTTTTGGTTCCGATGGGCGTATAATTATATGTGAAAGAAAAGTGAGGAACTTAATCCCAAGAACTTGGTTTAGTTTAGTTTAGTGACGGAGGACGTGGGCACCACCCCTTTACCATTATGGTTAATTGGTTTAAGCGCCACGTCCACTTTTATCTAAAGCTGACTCATGTTAGGGCCACACGAGATCCACTCGTAGGGGACATTGATTAGTGTTACAAAACATAGATATTAAAAATGGTTACATCTGTGTGAACACAGTACTTATGAGTTATGAACATAACTTTAGCAAGTGACACATAAGATTACAATTCAATATCCTATCAAGTAATTTTAGCAAGTTACATATAAAGTTTACAATTCAATACATAAAGAAGATATATAATACATAATGATTATATTATACTGTTGTGATTGATAAGTGGCGACATTGTCAACATGAATTTACTAATGCAAAATTCAACATTTAAACTCAGTATACAAAAAACCGAAGAACATACAAATGCTTATATTTCATACATTGCCAACTTAAATTTATAGTGGAGAAGTATAAAAATGCTTAGATCTCACATAAGTCTCTAATTATTCTGAATGTCATTGTTAACTTTTATATTACAGCTTACTACTAAAGATACAGTTATTATATTAAAATTGATATTAATGCAGTTAAATGAATAATTGCACTTAGACTATAAATACACTATAAAAACATTAAATCTATACAATTTCTAAAATACAATGATTCAAAACAATGATTATATGCGAATATTAAAACAATGATTCACTAGAAATATACAATGATTCAATACTATTACTTAAATTAATGATAATACTTTTCATATTATTAATCATATATGCCATGTTGACATCAAAATAATATTTTTTTCATACAGGTGCTTATTACTGAAATGATGTTACATATTACTAGCAAGCAATTCAAAAATAAGATATGTACGGTACAATTTTACTTGCACATTGGAAATATTATACAAATAAATAATTCAATACAATGATACCGTACGATTACTCATGAATAATTCAATACTACGATTCTATACGATTATTCAAATGCAATGATTCAATACAACAATCTATGCGCTTATTAGAACAAAAATCTATATAATTATTCAAAATTTCAATATTATTGCTCAAATTAATAAAAATACCATTTATATTATAAACCTCACTAGCCAAGTGGCATAAACATTTAAATTATACCATTAATTAATCATTAAAGCATTGATGCTACATGTTACTTGAAAGCAGTTAATTATAAATTATGTACTGCACAGTTTTACCTTGCACACTGAATATTATAAATAATGTAATGATGCAATACACAGTGATATTATACTGCTTCTTTAGACCATGTACCAAAGCAATAATTATATGCAGTTATTGAAGTATAAAGATACAATACGAGTATTCAGTGATTTAATATATATACTCAGATTTGTAATAATACTATATATGTTTATTAATAACATTTAAATACATGGGTATAGTCATTTAAGTACCTATTATAGTACTGATGTTACATTTACTTGAAAAGAAATCAATTGTTAGATATGTACAGTACAGTATAACTTGCACTTAATTTGTTCATTACAATTCAGTGATTCAATAGAATGATTCTTTATGATTACTAAAATATAATAATTTAGTACAGTGATTCTATGCATTTACTAAGTACAATGATTAATCATACCAAACCAGTTAACACCATGATACTATAAAACAATACAATTACTCTTATTCAGTATGATTACTCTATTTAGTAACAGAACTATTCCGCTATCAATTATACTAGTTAGGTAAACTTTAAAAGTAATAACCTTATCATCTATACAATCATCAATACGATTACTCTATATTACTCTATTACAATGTTTCAAAACTATGATACAATGAATTAATACTATACACAATTACTCTGATACAAAACGATTACTTTACTAAAATAATTATTCAGTATTAATGTAAATTTTATAGTACAAGGAAGCAAAGTCATCTCTCAATGATTTTATGCAATTACTCATATAAATAACAATAAAACCGTACATGTTATTAGTCATATTAGCCAAGTCAGTATCAAAACAATAAGTATATCATATTGTACCTATTATAGTATTAATTTTGAAATAGCAGAACAGTCAATATCTTGCTACCTGACATATCCGCTCCACAGCCAAAGGAAAGTTCTTAGCCAAGGGAGTCCACATTACTAGATGTATTTTACATTATGTATAGTACAGTATGTTAGCTATAGCTACAGTATGTTATTTACAGTACATTAGAACAGTTTTAGATACATTTGGAATAGCAAGAGAGTGATTTTCTGACTGTCTGACATGTCCGCTCCAAAGCCAGAGGATTGTTTAAAGCCGAGGGAGTCCACATAACGGGATAATTCTTAGTTTTTATTTGCATTAGTTTTAGCACAGGTCGAGATAGTTTATTTATGATATTACATTAGAGACATATATAAAATCAGATTTGACACATGTCAATGCCGAGGTTTAGTTTAACAATACGAGTTAACGTAAGTTTATTAACAATTTTGTTAATCTTTCGTACTGTATGCTTGTTATTAATTTTCGATGTGCACATTAAAATTCGTTACTGATTTAAGCCAGTAGGTTTGGGAGATCGTGGTATCTCCAATGTATTATTACATAAAAAATTAAAGAATTTTTCTTTTATGATTAGTTTTTTATTGTTTCACATAACTGATGATTCTATTTGATTGTTTTTTTGCACCGAAATTAAAATTTAGGCGCTTTAGAATTCAGTTTTAAAAAATATAAAAAGGGAAATAGAAGTAGCCAAAAGATCACATTTGGCGAAAGTTTCGTTCTCAGATTTGGCAACCCTGCCGCCACGCGAACGGCTGCCAACCACGCAGCAGCGGAGAGTGCATCGGCCATCTTAAGGGACACGTTGCATTGATGCTTGAAAATTCTGCACGCTGTCGATCAGGTAATAAACAATCTAAATCTTGCATTTTGTTTCTGTATTAATGCCGCTCATCTGTATTTTGTGAAATTTGTAAAAACTGACTGACAGCGAAAATTTGCAGCTCTCGGATGGCGAAATTTTAGGGTGTGTGTACGGATGTGTTGGTGTGTGCATGAGTGTGGGGGAGGGAGGAAAGGTTTTTCGTGAGCAGCTGGTGACGCAGGAAGAAAAGTTGAGTGTTTGTTAGCTTCATTTGTACGCATGCTTTAGTGCGTTCTTCGCGGCATTGTGCGTAACTATTTTCGAACAAGTGCATAATCGGAATACGATGCGGTGTGTGGGAAATATTTCATCAGGACATCCTATGGTGAGTCTCCTTTTATATTTCAAACTAGTAAATATTTATTTTTATATTTTATGATAACAATTAAATTTTTAAATTTTTATTAGTGACTGGAAATACAGCGAAATTATGATCTATGGAGGTGCGATAAGATAACATAGATATTGCTCGAGTTATGTACATTACAACTTTAAACAAACTTTTCCCAGTATTAACGAGATCAAATTTCATATTGAAGTGCTTCTTTAGCTTGTAGAACGAATGCCTTATTAGGTAAGTGTTGTATTGAGTGAATTATTTGGAGATTAAGGATCATTTTCATTAATTTCGATATAATACATTAGATCAGTCCTATTTTGTGAAGTCCTGAATATGTAACAAATTTTTTACAATTTTTTTTTTTTAATGTACCAATTGATGTAAAATTTAAGGAGCGCATTCAGTTTCATCTGTCAGAAGTGAGTGTAATGGGAAAATGAGGGGGGGGGAGGGGTTGGATACATCTTCTTTTTGCTTACTTAAAATCGCTTTCTTTTCTCAAAAACAATTTTTGTTTCCTGGTGTGTGAAAGATTACGTAATAAAATTTAATTTATTTATGCTTGATAACGTATTTGATGCTTTGATAACATATTTTATCCTTTGATGCACAAAAAGCAGAAAAATACGTGTAATAAAAAAAATTACAAGTTGCATTTAATATAATGTGAATGATATAATAATTAAAATAATGTAGCATAAATAAAATATAATAATAATATAAAATATAATCAAAAAATTAAAACTGAAAATTAATAACTGTAGCGTTACTTTTTTTATAAATAAATATTTATATAAACAGCCTTTTTCGCCATTTTGTACATAGGTTATTTATTTTTACGTGTAGTTTTATCTCATAGGAAGATGTAATAATGTCATTTTTATGAATATAGTTATAAGTAAATAACTGTACCGATTGAAGGAATTAATAATAAAATTTGAAATAAATGTGGATCCACTTAAAAATCAACAAAATGATGACTCTGCTAATATTGAATTATAAGTGGAATAAATTTTTGGTATCTGACATTAATTATCTTTCAGATCTGAAGCAAAATCTTAATCTTCTGGCTTATCCTTAACCATTAAGGAAAAAAAAAACGAGATGCAGAACTTGTATTCTGTAAACATTTTAATAATTTTAAGAGATTTGTTTAATGTTTATTTTCGACATTAATCTTCCGTAGTTTATTAACGGTGGTAGTGTTTTTGTAAAGAAAATAAATAACGTGCTGTTAAGAACTGAAAAATTAAAATATTCTGATAGTTATTTTGCTGAGAGCAGACTATAAAATTTTTTTAAAAAAAATCTGTATTATTTATTATTATTGGTGGAATTTATTATTTCTTTGAAACATCTGGCGGCTGTATGTAGGGTTAATCTTTAATTTGTTTAGTAATATGAAAGTTCTCTTCTTCTTGAAGACGAAAATTCAAGGAAAACTTTTGATGTGTACGAAGCTGAAGTTCCGATTTTTTACTTTCGGAACTGAACTATTTGTTATTATTAATGCCTATTTAAAACAATCATCGCTAATACCTAATACATTCTTTGTATTCTAGCTTTTCAATTGTAATTTTATCCTGCTGTTTGGAAAAAGCGATTTTAACCTACAGTGAATGAATGCAAAAAGTATTCGTGTATTCATTCGTATGTCATATGTAATAGGCAAGAAATGTTCTGAAAACCATGAATTTTTTTTAACAAGAATAACTCACGCATAGAGATTCGAAACGATTTAAACTTAAAACAAATACAACACACATTATAAAACTTATTGCGCTTTACTGAATAATGGTGATAAAAGAAGGAATAACTCCTATTTTTGGTAGAGTCCAAAACTTCTCAACTCAGTTTCTCTTTAACTTTATTCAAATGTTCAGCCTTAAATATTAATACTTCGTCTGGGTAGCCTTTAGGATCTTTAATTGTTCGAAGTCTTCCTGGCTAAGTCCGCCACATAGGAGTCGTAGAGCTTCGCCCACTTCTTGTTGGAGAACTGTTTTTGAATCTTTTCTCTTTTAAGTCATTCTGAATCCGAACTTTTCGAACCAATATATCCCACAAAAATTTTGATGACTGTGATTGAAATACAGTGCACTTCAAGGTATTGTAACAATATAAATGGTCGCGTATACCATGTACTTAAAATTTTTATCACCGTTTAATATCCTTGGTTCAGACCCTTTATGGCACTGTTTTGAATTCTGTTGCTTAAACTATCGATATGCATCTTACGATTGATAATTTTGTGGATTATATGGAGATCGTTTACTTCGGAACTCTCCGGTACTCATGCAGTACCAGACCAGGACAGAATCACCTCTGTTCTTTATTGTTGAAAGTAAATTCTTCGATTCATTTCTGTGTTAGGTTTTGTTATCTACTATGCGATCCAAAAATGCATTTATTTTCAATAAATTTCACCTATTTTTTTCAAACGCAAGAGTTTTCGTCTGTATATTTTTTTGACAGACACAAAGCTTAGCTTCGACTGTGTTGCCGACGAAAAATGTATTTTCAGGTGGTAGTTGCAGGTACACTGTTTTCAGTTTAGCAGCATGTATTTCTAAATTTTTCGTAATGCTTTGATAATGAAATGTCTGTTAGTTGTGGTTAGGGCAGACAATTAGGAAAACCTACTTTCCCAGAGTTTCAGACCAAACCTTTTGCAAATTTACCAATGCGTTTGCACAACAGAACATCTAGTTACAGTGTCAAAGTTGCATGATATCTTTCTCACACACACAATTGTTCCCTTTCCTTTGATTTTCGAGACATGTAGAACAATTGATCAGAGTAAATATGCAGTCTTACTCTGATACAAAAGTTTGGTACTGAGACATTATCAGGTTGCTTATGTGGCCCCAGAAGGAGGTCTTAAAAAGTTAGATAAGAAACTGAAGCCATTGATGGCACATGACTTTAATGAGCTAGCAGGTGAAAGCGGTCAAAAAAGCGAGGTATAAGTAGTCTTCTTTACTGCATGTGTGCCAAGCTAATGGACAGCGACGAGAGACAAAGCTCAGGCCGCATAAGAAACAAGTAAACGTTGGTAGTCAAAGCTCAATTTCGAAATTGTGATCTCTTAAACATGTGAGTAGCAGGTAGTCTGATCAATTTATCTTTTAGAATGATTTGGTTACTAAGAATTTCTGAAAAATTTGCGGTGCCACATCTAAGTCTAGTTTCGAAGAAACGCTTATGAAGTTTAGCAATGTGGTGTACCATAGAGTCGATTTTAGAAGTCGTCATGGATAAATTTATTTCTAATCAGGTAATGAGCATTTATACTTCTTCTCAGAATATTATTCTGTACTACCTGAAGTTTGTAATGCATAGTTATGTCCTCTTTTTGATGAGAGACAGCTCAGAGTAATTTCCAAGAGTACGGATACCACAGGCTTTTCCTGTCACGTGCTTTTTTTATATGCCCAAGTCATGTGAACATTTGGTTAATGATAATCTCTAGATAACTTCACGTTTTCCTGAATAAGTAGAGGTTGTTCAGTACTATGATGTTCCCAATCTACCAGTAGGAGATTAAAATTTGAGCCATTTATACTGATTCTCTATTTTTGCGCCAGTCCTCAATATCTACCTCTGCATCATCAACACAGCAAGCTGACATAAGGGTTATGATCCATTTTATCTCTGGGACAAAAGTTTGAATACAAATTAAATCTTTCTATGCTAGATTGTGTAGTAATTTATACTCGAATCTCTCACCAATCGGAAATCAGAATTTACATTTTCCCGGTGTATTTAAATTTTTCATGGGCTTTATTTTTATTTAATTTTTTATTATTATTAGAGGAATTTCTATTATTATTTAAATTTAAATAAGAAATGAGATTTTTTTTTTGTTGTTATGAAATAGATCGTTGAATTCGTATTTTGTATTGTTGTAGTATCCTCGAAAATTTCGGATTTTATTAAAATTCAGGTGGTGTGCGTCTGTTTTCTACACTGACTAGCAGCATTCTACCGAAAGAGGTCTTTAGATCGAATGCTTGGCCATTGTATCATTATCACACGACTAATCGAAGCATTGTGTCTTACACTGGTTATCATAGATTACGGAAAAACCACAAAAATCACGATTACTGAAAAAGTTACATGTAGACTTTAATGAAACTTACTCACAATATACAACACATAATAAGGTGAAGTAACAGGGCACAGCCCTCAGCCCACCCAACCAAGAAAACTTGGTCATATGACTAATCAAAAGGGCCGGCCCATCTAACAACAAACGAGGGGCCAGAGACCCGGCCGTGCTCAAAAAAACTAACAAAGAGAAACAAACAAATAAAATATTAAACTATTAATCCCGGAAAACCAAAAGCCCCACACATAATAAGGTATCAAATAACATAAAAAGAAATTACCAGACAAACATGCGGTAGTATAGAAATTAGCACATGTATAAAATGAACAAATCGAAGGTGTCAGTTTGCTATAGGAAAAGTACCTTCAATATGGAATATGGTCGCCTCTAGAAGCAATTCAGCACATACAGCGATGTGTGATGCTTTCAATTATGCGGTCTATCAGTTCCATAGGAAACGAGAACCATTGCTTTTGCAAAGCAGTTGCAAGCGCGACAAGGGTTTGAAGGGGCCGATTGAGAGCAGCTAGACGTCTCTAAAGCATCCCAAACGTGCTCGATGGGATTCAAGTCCGGGGATCGAGCTGGCCACTCCATGCCCATAATTGTTTCCTGTTCAAGATAATCATCTACAATGCGAGCCCTGTGTGGTCTTGCGTTGTCGTCCTGTAACAGGAAAGCATCACCTATTGCCCCGGCATATGGACGCACATAAACATCAAGGATGTCATCTCTATAAATCTGAGCATTCACGGTTCCTCTTGGAAAGACATGGAGGTTTGTGCGTCCACCCAAAGAGATGCCACCCCAAACACAGACACTGCCTTTTCCGTATGCATCTCTTTCATAAATGATAACGGGTTCTAGGTTCTCT